GCAGTTTTTGTAAATATCCCTACTGCTTAAAACCTATTCCAAACTACCTATTCGTAATTGGACTAAGCAAATGTCTATTTGTCTGACTGTATTTATAAAGTGTTTTCTTAGACCTGTCAGATTTATTCCTTATTAAATAACGATAGATTCAATGAGTACTTAGATTTGCTGCTACAGGGAAGAAAAACGTATTTTTTGTATAATGTTAATAGTATAGGTAAATAAATTTGCCAAATTTGATCAAAATCGTATTAATAAAGATGAAAATCTGTGAGTCTGATTATTTGTTTGGGGATCAATCATACATTAACTACTGGTCAGATTGGGCTTAGATTTGGCATTATGATAGCTCATATTCACTAACCTAGTATTCACATTCATAATCTAACGCAAGGTTAGACGACACCACCATCTCATAATAAGACGTAACCGCAGTCAATCTTTACCCACTTAAAAACAAGCTTTACTCTGTAAAATAGAATGAGGGTTTATTTGCACTTTCAAAAGTCGATGGTGAAACTAAATCTATATCTTCTATATATAGCGAACAAATATATTGAACTAATGGCCTAAATGTAACTTAGACGAAACGTAAAAGCTATTTGAGTAGGTGATAGAATGTTGATTCAAACAGGCGTGTCATTGCCAACGAGGGTAAGGGTAGGGTGGTAGGTGGTAGGCGGTGGGTTGGATCATCCGATATAAGTTTCGACTTCGATAATCGATGTAACGGATCGGTTGTCAACTGGTCATATATCGATAGAACATCCTCTGGTAAAGTCGTTTAGAAGGTTAGATTTAGGAACCAATACAAGTTTAAGTTGGTGAAGAAGTGTCATTTAACGACATTCTAATATTTTTACTATATGTAATAATATTTTTGATTAAACAAATTAAACTCGTTTACCATTTTATTTTACTAATGAATATGGGGACGCTAGTAGTATTTTAGCCGAAAATGAATGAAGAATCGGTGTATGACTAATTTGGAATCCTTGAGTGTCTTTATCCGTTACTAAGACCAGCTGTTTCTTAAAAACATTATTTACTTAGAGACCAGGACAATTTATTTAAAGCTCACAGATTAAGGACAGTTCGACTTAGTTTCCAAAATTATGAGCTACTTTTTATTGCTTAAGCAAGCACCCTGATCACCAAAATACCAAGCCATAAATATTGAACTGTTGATTTATAATATCACATATTTTGACATAAATATAGTACCGTATTAGAGTTTTCAGATTACAGCCACCATTCCACTTCGACGAGAACGTTAAAAGCATTTCACTAAACATAAAAAAATTCGACGAATTAGTAAATTCACATTTAAATATTTGAGCAATAATGACTAGTGAGATTTGTATAATCACTCTATAATACTAATTTACATTCATAAAAGTTTATCGTAAATGCAATATTCATTCGGACTCGTTCGCTATCGATATATCGAACCCTATCTATGGGTCAGTCTGAAATAAACAGTTTGCGCGCGGTTTTGCTGTGATAAACACCTCTTACTCCAGCTCTGTGTGAAATGGCTAATAACAGCGAATTCGTGCTTAAAATACTGAATAGACCACACCTATATCAACTTTATTCCAGCAGTAATCAAATAAACATTCGAAAATTAATGTGAATTACATATTCACGTGTTGTAAATTACATGTTGTATAGAATAAAAAAATATTCCACGGTGAAATATTTTTGAAACATTTCATAAAGATGGGAGACAAGTGGGTTTTATTGGTTGTATGTAAAAAAAGATGATGTTCCCGAATTGCTTAAGTGTTTTAATTTTTTCCGTGATCATAATGTTTGGAATTCAAACATCGGCTTTGGATACGATGTATACTCAACAGCCAGAGGTAAGTATTTACTAAAAAAATATTAATGATACAACTACAAACCTAACGATCCAAGGACCAATTAGATGGTAGGCTATTTTGTTTAAAACTTTATAGAATTGAGTTATTAAAAACGCTTTTTATGACATGTAACAAGGGTTTTTGTTTAATGATAAATATTTTAAAACTGATAACTTACAATTTTGTGGATAGTAGTTTGTTAAGTCGCGGTATTTGTTTATTATTTTACTTTTGGTCACATGTGCTTGTGGTTATTAATTAATTTATTCTTGTGGCGAAATCCAGTTTAAAAAGTTGACGAAATCTAAACGCTACATTCAACTAGTTCTAAACCCTATACCTATACTTAACCATACTTAAATGCAACAATAACCAGATTCAACGTAATAAGAGTTAACAGAGCAATTAATACAAAGACGACCTAATCATTAGTACTTGTATTGAGACAGTGTACATACAATTTTTTTTTCAAAATATCCCAGCTGAAATAAAACGGACTGAGTGAATTTTCATTTGCCCGGTTAATTGTTACCAACATATTTTCTTATATTGTCTGATTTTTTATTTTATATATAAAAATAAAATTAAAATTCATGAGTGGTTAGGTTTGCTACTGCAGGAAAGTAAAAAAAAAATGAATTAATATTAGCTTAAAATTAAATAAATAAATAACCCAAATCTGATCAAAATACAACTCTGCATAAGTTTATCCATCCTCATTTTCAAGAATAACGTAGGGATGGAAATTTATAGCTTTTGGACTTTCTTTGTAATCATTAGACATACAACTAACTACACTTAAATAAACTAATTTCTATATGAGCTAAATTCTAAATGAGCTAATTTCTTAGCTCTAAAAATCTATAATACAAAATTTATGTTTTGGGGTAAAAATGGAAAAATCCAATATTTACCCCATGAAACCCCGTTCCCATTGCTAAATCCTGCTGGTTCGTGAACTTTGAATTACTTGCAGTGTAGACAATTTCGTTCAATTGGGATCATTATTACTCTAGTTATCGTGCTAACGGACACACACACACATCCACACGCACTTGTTGCTAAAAAGAGGTGATGTCTTTTAGTTTTTGGCGAATAAGAAATTGACTAAACTAACTGGATGAAATTGTACCCAAAGTTAGAGCATACCATGAGGGCTGATCTTGCATATTCATGTTCTTCTACCTCTTACACTTTGTCCCGTAGATGTATAAACTTTCAGAAGCGCTCCGAGGTACATATTCATTGGTCTTCGTGGAAAGTAATGGATAAAGTACAATGTTACCACATGCACTTTTTACGTTCAATTTATTTATGTTTCAATAGTAACCCAGTATCCTAACACATTTTACCTTGGATGAAATGGGGTAGTAGGTTTCTTTTTTTATGTTGTTTGTAATAGTACCGAGTTGCTAAATCAAAATTTTCGACCTCGGCGACCTTCCGGATCACCTCCAAAAAGCTTAAATATCGGCGGAATTTTGCACTATTTTTGCGATTGTCCGATTTTGACCCTGAAGCATCACTTTTTTATAGAGAACAACCCTAATTATTTTTAAAGTAAATTAAATTGCCTATCATTTAAGACCAAAATGGTTATTACAGACCTAATAGTTTTCAAGATATGACTCCGCAAACAACGGCTAAAATTACAAAGTTTTGAATTTTTTAAGTTTGGCAAACGTTAACCGTTGCGTTAACCCTAAAGCATAACTTTCTAATTATTTGTCATTAAAACAACCATAATTACTTTAAAACTAAATTAAATTACGCACAATTTAAGACCAAAATGGTGATTATTGGCCTAACACATTGAGAGATATATATGCCTCTTCAAGTTTCATAAAATCTTCCCTAAATGCTTGTATTTAAGTTTCAAGCTATTAAATTTTGTCAAGTTTTTTAAAAGAACCATTAGGTTATGACCCGGACAAAATTGATAACAGGCTGAAAATTTGTGGAAATTTTCAAAACAATGTCCTGAGTGGCCCACACAAAGTCCCAAGAAATCCCAGTTGGGGAACGGCTGCCATTTTGAAAAAAACTGCCGCCATCTTGGAAATTTAGATTTCTTGCTGTATCTTTTGAAGTAATTGTCCGAAAGACCTTATTTATGTCTCAAATTAAACGTTTTGGGCTCATGTATGAGGGTAATATATAGTTTAAAAGTGTATTATGTTCTAAGCATATATTTTAATTATATTAAGCTAAAAAATATCTATAATAACGATATAGATACGGTTATGCCCCCCCTTTTATACGAATTGTGGATATTTATAGGCATGCAAGGTGGATGCGATGCTCCCTGGTGTGGATTAACGTCCGCACAAGTGAGTACTATGACTATCCGCAGTACTATCCTGATAATTAGACCAATTCGTTAATTACAAGGAAAAAATGTGGTTTGGATTCCACTATAAACTGTAGGTCCCTTAGTTGCCATTAGCTGTATAGGCTATTAATTAACATTTGTGTCTAAGGAACATGTCGTCCTTAGTCACTAACGAGACTACAAGATCGCGCCACTCATCCTTCACTCATATTTTGTTAAAATACGCACATAGTGGCGTCCTCATCTAAAATAATTGATATAAATATACAAAATATATACAAAATAAGCTTTATCTCTTTTATTGTAATGGACCTGTTTAAGCCATTAACCCTATTGAAATTTCTTGCAACCCATAATGCTTAGTCTTTGGAATTGGTTAAACATAAATATAATATCCATTTAACTATGATGAAGCTTTAAAGAGGAGACAACTAATACAGCTCATGCAATTATTGCTGCAGCTCGACCACGATCTTTCATATCGCCCCTGCTGCTCGGCCTTCACAGACGGTATGGCTCGTACTTAACTGTTAGACATTCTATCGTAGCTCGGAGTTTGCTCGACATACAAGAAGGTCAATTATGAGACTTCGATAGCTGATAATGTCTCACCTTCAATAGATGAACGTTCATTATGTTTTCGACAACGCGGATTACAACGTTTAAAACACTTGATGGACATGGTTCTCTTCACGCCATGGGTGACATTGAGTGCATAACACCAGCCGAAATGTGTCAAGTGCTCCTGTACCACGATCTACAATCCCAAAACAAAATGTGTCCTTCTATCTCATGGCTTTCAGTCAGTGACACCTTACCAACGTCCGCCTAAGCCTGGGACATCTTTAGTAGTATTGGGAGATGTCAGTACAGCCCTTTCCGAACCAAAAATGGTTGTAGATGCTTGTCTTGCTGACACCCTACGGCTCATTAACTACCAACTGAGTGACAAACCAAGTCCAGGTTGGAATGGATTCATGGATACAGTACAACTACCCTTATGGTCTTAATTGCACCACGATGCATGGATACTGCACTGGACACGGATGTGCCAACCGCGATAGTTACAACGAAGATGACATCACCGACATAACATTAAACAGCGAGTAGTTACATTATAAGTTTATATGCAATATTAAAATATAATGGTAATCAATTATAGCAACTATATCTAGATGATTCTATTTTAAGACCGGAACAAACGAAATTATTAATTGCTTTTTCATAATTTATTTTGTACTTCATTGTTAAATTGATGCTTTCCTAGTCAAGATTACAATTTCCTGTTACCGATGTTGCTCTGCTCCTGCCATAGATTTAAGTTAGTTAAGTTTTCTGTTAAATGCATGTTGTTACCACTTAGGCTTCTTGAATCCACATTGTAAATTGGTGATCTTTCCGTTGGAATAAATAAATAACAAATTACAGCATTTAGGTGAATAAAAAGTCAATACCCCCCTTCTCTAATACTTTCTAAGTGAATATACAGAGATGTCCTTTTTGGTGGTCGTCCAATCTTAGCAGGGAGTTTCATTTTATGAATTTGAAATTTTTAAATGTTCCCCCAAAAGGGGGGATTTTGGGGGCAACTCAAAAATTTTAAACGTAAACCCCCTTCAAATGACATCTCATTTTAATGAGTTTACAATATCTTTATGAATGGTGAAAACCAGAGTTAGCTATTTCATCTTTATCAAAAAATGGTAGCCCGTCAAACGTTATGGAAAATCAATGATAATATTGGTTCGTATTTGTAATATTGGCTACCATTTTGGACAGAGGAGAATACTCAAAGATTTTAAAATCATAAAATGAAACTTCCTGCTAAGGTTGCATCACCACCAAAAGGATTACTCTATAATATTTACTTAGGAACAAATTAAAGGGGGGGGGAATTACTTTTTACTACAAAGGAAAATTAATGTAACACTATCGTCATATAACTTTTGACGGGCTACCATTTTGGATAGAGAAGATATAGGGAACTCTGGTTTTCACCATTCTTTAAGTTTTTGTAAACACTTCAAGATGAGGTGTCACTTGAATAGGATTTACTTTAAAATTTTTGAGTTGCCCTTAAAATTCCCTCTTTTTGGGGGACACTCAAAAATTGTAAAATCATCAAATGAAACTTCCTACTAAGATTGCAACACCACCAAAAGGATATTTCTGTATACTTACTTAGAAAAATATTTGGGGGGGGGGTCTTGACTTTTTATTCACCCCTTATTTAACCAATTCCAAAGACTAAACATAGTGAATTGCATTAAATGCCAAAAGGGTTAATGGCTTTAACAAGTCCATTAAGAGCGAAAGAAAAAAAAACTTCATTTTGTAAATATTTTGTAAATTTATATCATTTTATGGATATATTTTTAGGTTAATATAAATAATATTTATGCTTAGAACGTATTAAACTCTTTAATTATATACTACACTCATACATGAGTTCAAAACGCTTAATTTGAGACATAAATAATGCCTTTCGGACTATTACTTCAAAAGATACAGCAAAAAAATCTTAATTTCCAAGATGGCGGCAGTTTTTTCAAGATGGCGGCCGTTCCCCAACTGGGATTTCTTGGGACTTTGTGTGGGCCACTCAGGACATTGTTCTGAACGTTTCCACCAATTTTCAGCCTGTTATCAATTTTGTCCGGGTCAAGGTCATTTTTTGTCTAATTGCACTGGACTATAATAAAAAATAAACTAATTTATTTCATCTCAAGAACAGATTGTGTTATAATTTTTGTTATGGATATAAAACTATTGTATTATCTACATAAACACACACGTACGTTGTTACAATAAATGATTCTCGGGGATAGAGCACAGGCCTGTGACGAACGGTATTTATTTAATTGTATCGCCGCGGGAGCAGGTTGGAGAACACTGAGGGCTTCTGCGTCTGTGATTAGATGATCCTTGTACCTTTGGACATGGACTCGTCCTGTAGGGGTATCAGCTGAATATTGTATGTATACTTGTATACTTGTATGACTACTTGTTGTACTAACTCAAGACGTTTGGATGTGTGAACTATAATTTAGTTTTTCATTCAATTGAGACAAGGGTAATGGTGAAAATCCATGTGTGAAGAAGTGCTTTAATTCTTCATCCGACTGCTTCAGAACGCATAGCCTGTGAAACAGTGTGAGGGGGTCAATAGTCACCTTCAACTCGAGTGACTCATGAGGGTCTCATTTCTACATACACTTGTATGTGCCTTAACATTGCAGTAGGCCTTCTCCTCAACCTCAGCACTTAAATTCCACAGATAAATTATATCATTCCTAGTGTCCATCGGGTGAGCACGGTGTCAGCTATACCACGGTCCCGAGTCAAACCTATATAGCTTTTCATTAGGCAAATGAGCACCTGCTCTATAGTCATGTCCGTCCAAACACCCGTCTAGAACTTTTCAGAACGCACAATGGTGCAGTGGTGGATCCAGAGGGTGGGGGGGGGGGCGGTCGACCCCCCCCTCGGGCATATATATATATATATATTATATATATATATTTACTGCATGTAATACAGTAGTGCATACACATTGCGTAAAATAATTTGGCAGACTAACTTTGGACTAAGAAATGGTATAAAACTGCTATTTTGGGAACTTAGCTCACACAAAGATTTTTCAGGGGGTGCCCCCATACCCCCCTGTTCACCCCCCCTTGTGACTGTTCTAGATCCGCCCATGCAATGGTGAAGACTGTTGGTGGTAAATAACTGGTGTTTATTGAAATCCATCTTGTTTCCTAATTTCAACATATCCTGCAGGTACAGATGCGAACACTTGGCATAAAAGAAGTAATATATAGCATGGCAGAACGACGGCAAAGTTAAAACTTATTTTCACTGTTGCCTCTTCATTCTTTATATCAATTCCTCTTAAGGTAGTATAAATAAGGTAGTATTGTGTCCTCAATTGATAGTATAAACATTTTAATTACAATAGATTTCTTCCATAGAAAAAGAAGAAAAAAAACTTATAATATGTTGTTGAAATGAAATAAATTTTTTTCTATTCTTATTATGGTTCTTTTATAAAATTTTAGTAAATTGAATAACTTGAATCTTAAAGTACAAACATTTATGGAAGATTTGATGAACCTTGAAGAGGCATATTTCTAAATGTGCTAGGCCCATAATCACCATTATGGTCTCAAATTGTGAGTAATTTAATGTAATTGTGGTTGTTTCAATGAAAAATAATGATAAAGTTATTTCATTGTAGTTGTTAGCCTCCGGATTGCCAAATAATATTAAAAAAGGTTCAAATACCTGCTATTAAGAAATCCAAATTTGTTGTTAGAACAACTAGTTTCGGTGTCTGTGTGACACCATCAAACTGGTCTGGACTCAAACTCCGCCGGGTTAGCGTAGTCTGTTTTCTTAACTGATCAGTTACCATAAATGTCTCGTGTTCGTGTTTGTGTCGTCTGTAAATGTTTATTTATTTTCGTGTAAATATGACGCTCTTCGTATGAAGAAAGAAAACTGTCCTTGTGCAGCCTGATGATGGTGTCACACAGACACCGAAACTAGTTGTTCTAACAACAAATTTGGATTGCTTAATATCAGGTATTTGAACCTTTTTTGATAAAGTTATGATTTAGGGTTAACGTTGGCCAAACTTTAAAAAAATCAAAATTTGGTAATTTTAGTCGTTGTTTGCGGAGTCATACCTTGAAAACTATTAGGCTTCTAATAGCCATTTTGGTCTTAAATGATAGGCAATTTAATGTAATTTAAAAATGGTTATGGTTGTTCTTTATAAAATGATGATTCAGGGTCAAAATCTTACAAACGTAAAAATAGTTCGAAATTCCGCCGATTTTTAAGCTTTTTGGAGGTGACCCGGAAGGTTGCCGAGGTCGAAAATTTGGATTTAGCATCTCGGTAGTATTACAAACAACGTAAAAATGAAACCTACTACCCCATTGCATGCAAGGTAGGCCCTGCTTTTTATAACAAGGTTACTGGGTTATAGTTATTTGTTTTATTATGCCTTACAGCTTATTGAAATGAACCAAAGACAATGGTATAAAGCTAAGTAGTGTGTTAGTATTTATGATCAAAGAGGTTTACTATGAGCATGGTTGAATGTTTTTTTTCTGTTGTTGCAATCAAAATAGGTGTTTTATACAGTAGATTGAAAGAACCACATCATATGTTACCGTAACTCTGCAATCATACCACGGTTCGGTAGCTGACCCGTGCGGATCATTCGCACTGTATCCTCCTAAAATCCCACTCACCTAATACCGTGTAGTTTATGCGCCTTTGTTGTAGGTATAATAAGTTGAAAAAAGGGATAGGGTGTGTGTTTAAATCTTTTAATTATTTATTTTCAAAACATAAGCTAAAGGATGTTTCTAGGTTTATAGGATCGCTTTGAGCACTACGTTTGAAGTGATGATAGAGAAAGGCAACTTGGTAATCTGTTAGTGACTTTGTCTTATATAAGCGTAGTTGTTACCGGGAATTGGACCCTTGAAAACGCCATTTACAACTGACCATTTGAAAAAAAAACACGGTCTGGCACGGACAATCCTTCCTTTGATGGTGTCTACAAAAACCCTTTAACGTTAACGGAGGAAAATTAGCTTTACGTTATGTGCTTTTTTACGCAAATGTCTAAATTGTTCCGGTTTAAAATAAAACGTACCTTTCGTTTATGAAAACTCTGAAAATGTATTCAAATTATAATAAATACTACAAATAACGTACAATTTTATACGGAAAAAATTACAGGTCCTACCTAGAAATCGTACAAGATTTTTCAGTTTTCATTAAAAAAGTCTTTAGTGAAAAATTGTTTTCAGAATAAAGCCTGGCTATAAGTTAACAATTTCTGACAATATTAAAGAAATTTCAGTAAAACCTGAATTAGTTAATTACTCAAGTGGAAAAGTTTGCCAAAGTTGGAGTAGCGTCTCATTTTGAAAACCATCGAA